CGTACAGTTCGGGGCCTCCAGCCGGGAAACGACGAAGGGCTCTGAGAAAAGGGGTTGTCCAGCGGCATCTGCAGACAGGGCGGTGATCGACTTAAGGAACGGCGCGAGCGAAGAAAGGAGAAATCGGTCGTAGGGATAAAGACAGAGGCGCGGGAAAGAGAAGCGTCGGGGACCCGCGGCCAGCGAGCGAGCAGAGCGGAATTCTAGTGGTCAGAGCGACGGAGCCGGCGACGGGGCTCCGCGTGCGGGCGTGGGCGGGCTGCTCTTCCCCGCGGGGGGCGTGAGTGACGTGGCGGGAGGGGCTCTCCCCGGCGCCGAGGAAGCTGGGGGGAGGCGCCCGCATCCCATCTGCTCCCTAACCCGCTATCCCCTCCACCCTCCCACCCGCCGCGGGACTGGAACAGCCTCCGTGCTCTCCCGCTTCTGAGAAAGAAGCTTGGGCTCTCCGGTGATCTGCGTGGCGGTGAGCTACGGCCACCTCCACCCTCCCGCCGCCGGCTCACCGTCTGTAGGGGGGACGCCTAACGCGTGAGGCTGGGGTGTGTGAGTGAGAAAGGGACGCTGAGGGCTCCTGGAGACCTCCGACCAGTCAAGATGAGGCTCGCGCGCCCTCCCGCAAGCTCCCAGCTCTGGCAGGTGCCTCGGAAGCCGGGCACACACCCCTCTGTGATCCCGCGGAAGCCAGAAAATTACCCGGGCAACCGCACCGGCGGAGCCCCGGATGTGGTTGCTAAGGCCGCAGCGGGAGGGGCGGGGCCAGCCTCTCCGGGAAAGGGGCGGAGGGGGCTTCGGGGGTGGTGCGCTGGCACCATAGAGACGTGGCTCGGCCGGGCGAGATTGAGAGAGAGAGGCCGTCCGGAGCCAAAGACAGCGCTGCTTCCGGTTTCCTCACTTCCGGCCCCGCTGCTCTTCTTGTTGGTGTCGAAGGCCGAACTGGGAGGTCCCGGGTCTGTTTCCTCGGCGGTTGGTCAGTGAGGGGCTGTGACAGCTGCATTAGCAGCCCGCCCCTGAGGAGCCGAGGTGCGTTGGGGGAGGAGAAGAAGGAAAAGGCCCAAGTTGCTTTTCCGCTCACTTTTTCCAAGTATTGAGACGATTCCAGAGAGCAGCTGCAGGGATCATCCTCGACGTGAGACCTGCCGGGCTCCCAGCGGACAGGTGAGGGCGGAGCTGGCCCACCTGGAAGGAGGCGGGGAAGGCTAGTCTGAGGGGTTGGCTGTGGCGGACACGTTGACTTTGGGGTTCCGGACTTTTTCACAAGGCACTTCTATCCTTAGTCTTTCCATATCTGCCCAAGTATTCGGCCTTTGGTTTCTTACCCTTCGTTCCTACTGACCTCCTGAGTGTGTCCCCCGAAACAGCCGGTGTAGAGGGAGGGCGGCCCTTCCAAGGTGGCACCTTCTTGGCATTGCATGCATTGCGTGGGAAAAGGGGTTGCAGGATCCAGGTCTTTCTCGATTGAGTCTCAGAGTTGGCCACCTTCAGGTTCGGTGTCCAGCCTTTACTTCGTTCCCCTCCCTGCATCCTCCACGTCCTCTCTCCCGCAGTGAGAGGCAGGGAGACAGTGATAGTCCCTCCGAGAGGTACTTTGGACAGTGGTGCAGAGGGAGGAGCCTTGCTTACGTGGGAACGTCCGAGGAATGCTGGAGTTTGGGAAGGAAGTTGTGCTGTCGTCTTCTCGTCCGTTCCACTTTGCCAAATTACTACTGTTTACGTGTCTAGGAAAAGGAAAGAGGTTTTTGTTTTGTTTTTTTAAAGAACAGTCTGTAGATGCTTTTTCCTTTTATTTTATTATTTCATCCTTTGCTTTGTTCTTATCTCTCTCTTGAGCCCTTTGATCTCAGAAAGTGTAATTTACACTTCTTGCAAATCCTTTAGCCACCCCCTTTGAGGATTTCTGTTTCCCCTCCCTTAGTTTTCTCCTAAAGTATATAATTTCTCTAACTCGGTTCTTATTTTATAAGGAAAATTGGAAGATTTGTAAGAATTTTCATAAACTTGTGCTTTCACCTTGCAAGGGTTTGTTCACCTTGCAAGGTGAAGTTAATTAACTTCATTGGCATGGAAACGTGCACCAGAATTGGTTACTTTAAATCAGTCCTGTGTTGAGGCTGCAGAAATTGACCATTTAATTGCTGCTATCTCAGTGATTATAACACAATATGTTAGTACTGTTTTAGTTACACTTTTTTTCCCATTTGTCCTGTTTGTTTTCCTTGCTAGACATGGCCAACACCCTCTTCCTACTACTATGTCTCACACTCATTATCTGAGAAAATAGAAAGTATTTCTAATCTTATTTTATTTTCTGGACTAAAAATCTCTGCCTCACTTTCATTCTTTTTAAAATTATCTTAATCCTGGCTTAAGTCTTAGGATCCATCTTTTATGAGGTTTGTGACTCAGCTGCAACTCTGAAGTTATGTGCAAAGTTTTGTTTGAATGCATTTTGGGTAGGGGAGGGGGGAGAATCTTTCCTTTTTATCAAATTCTGAAAGGAGATAGAGAACCTCGGGATAGTGTATGTGTATGTGTATGTATATTAAAATATATATATGCACACATACATATATATATGAAATGTATATATGAGATATATAACCTCCNAGAGAACCTCGGGATAGTGTATGTGTATGTGTATGTATATTAAAATATATATATGCACACATACATATATATATGAAATGTATATATGAGATATATAATCATGTCTTAGTGTCTTGTTGAAGTTAATATAAACTTTTTTTGT